TAGATCAATAGATGATAGATAGATAGATAGATGATAGATAGATGATAGATAGATAGATAGATAGATAGATTGCCAGTAATATGTTTATTTTATTTGCACAGTCAGTTCTGTTCATGTAGTCAGTCGGTTCAGTTTGGAAAATATGAATGCATGTTATGATTAGATTAGATGAATGTGGTTGTTTTGACTTGTTCCTGCAGTATGTGCTGGAGGCTGATGCTAAACTGGACCAGCTGCGAGTGCTTGTGGAGGCTGCGGACCGAGAGAAGGTGGAGCTGCTCAATCAGCTGGAGGAGGAGAAGAGGTGCAGTATTCATCCGTCACAAATACGGTTCAAGCTCGTGGATTCTCGTCACTTTTAGGATTGTATTTGCATATAGAAATCCTTAGAGCTAATGGATTGATAACTAATGTTGATATTGATGACGCAGGGGCATTTCTGTCCAATAAAATGCATAGAATGAGAATTATATGGAGAATTCTGTCATCATTTACGCACCATAGTGCCGTTTGGTGACCTTTGACTTCCATTCTATGGACAAAAATTCCTCATTTCTCAAAATATATAAATTTAAAGTCATACGGGTTTGGAACGACACAAGGGAGAGTAAAGGATGATAGAATTATATCGGGTGAACTATCATTTTAATTAATTTTTTATTTTATTTTAATTTTTTTACGTTTTTCTCAACAGCATGTCGGAACTCTCGCTCTCTCTCTTTCTGATAACTTTATAAACTAACATTTACTATAATTTATATATGTGTCCCTGGAGCACAAAAGCAGTCTTAAGTCGCTGGGGTATATTTGTAGCAATAGCCAACAATACATTGTATGGGTCAAAATTATAGATTTTTCTTTTATGCCAAAAATCATTAGCATATTAAGTAAAGATCATGTTCCATGAAGATATTTAGTAAATTTCCTACTGTAAATATATCAAAACTTAATTTTTGATTAGTAATATGCATTGCCAAGAACTTCATTTGAACAACTTTAAAGATGATTTTCTCAATATTTAGATTTTTTTGCACCCTCAGATTCCAGATTTTCTAATAGTTGTATCTCAGCCAAATATTGTCCTATCCTAACAAACCATACATCAATGGAGAGCTTATTTATTCAGCTTTCAGATGATGCATACATCTCAATTTCACAAAATTGACCCTTATGACTGGTTTTGTGCTCCAGAGTCACATTTATTAATTGATTAATAAATAAATACCACTGTTGTAGGAGTAAGAATGTAAAATGGAAATACAAACTGAAGATGATAAAGAAGTATTGTCCCAAACAGGAAGGTGGAGGACCTGCAGTTTCGGGTGGAGGAAGCCTGCATTACCAAAGGAGATTTGGAGGTATTTGAAGATCTTTGCTCTGAACATTCAGACCTAAAGCTGTGGTCACACTAGACTTCGATGCATTCACTAACATGCAAACGAGGGAGAGCTGAAATGCAGGCTCATGCATAGAAATGTATTGTGACTTGTGAATTTCAATGACAAGATGCGTGACCAACAGAGGTTCTTAAAACCACAGATTGACCAAACTATGAAAATACTCCATGTATGCATTCAGCAGAACTTTAAACATACGCGCTTTCAATTATTATGCGACTTTGAGTTCATTATATCTGTATTAATTATCTGCAAAAGAGCTGTAATATATGGAAGTCCTGAGAGGCCATGGATTATTAATATTTTTCTTGTTTTCTCGTGAAGTATCAAAAGTTGTTGTCTAAGGTACACAACTGCGCCAACAGGTGGCAGTATAGAGCTGAATATAACTGATGGGGTGTTGTATACTGTACACTTTACTGTACGCGTTTGGGACAGAATAAGCACCTTCTTCGTGATCGCTATAATTTGTGCAGTATTGTTCATTACTGACATTTAACTCATAAATGTTAAATGCTTGAATCAATATGATTATTGTGTGTATCTGTAATCGTTACGTTCTTGCTAGATGCATGACTCACCACCGCAATAGTGTTCTGTATCATAAACGAACTGCTTATTAAAAGCAAGGTTGACGTCACTGTATAGTATCTGTTTGCTCCTGTATCTTTATCTGTGCATCTTTGAAGTACATGACTGTTCGTTAATAAGCGGAGATGTTGTGTTTATCTAAGACGACGTGCTTCAGCAACGTATTTGTAATGTGCATCTTTGTCCTTATTTATAATCTTTATTGTTAATCATTAAATGTGTATTGATAAATGTGATTTATATATGTAAAAATGTGTCATTTAATTCAGTGATGCTATACCGTGTTGTAATCTTTTGTATTTTCCACATTTCTATGTAGGAAAACACTCACACACACACTCTCTCTCACACACGCTCACACAAACACACACACACACTCACACACACACACACACACGCACTCAGACAGACACTCACACACGCGCTCAGACAAACACACACACACGCGCTCACACAAACACTCACACACTCACACTCTCACACACACACGCTCAGACAAACACACACACACTCACACACACTTTCTCACTCACTCACACACACACACACACACATGCACACGCTCACACA